TAGAATGCTGTGGCATCATACAGCTCACAGCAACCTCCAACTCCTGGGCTTAGGCGATTCTTGCCTCAGCCTCCCAGGTAGCTGGAACTACAGGTGCCCACCACAACACCCGGCTATTTTTTTGTTGCAGTTTGGCGGGGGCTGGGCCTGAACCCACCACCCTCAGTATATGGGGCTGGTGCCCCACCCACTGAGCCACAGGCACCACCCTAAACCAGTATGTTTTATATGTGCCTTGCTGGGAAGACAAAATTATCTTTTATGGTTTTCACAAAACAAATAACAGAAGCTATAATTTTACTAGGAAATTGACAGTGCAGAGTGTAAGACTCTTCTTGTTTGTTCTGGGCTCTTAAAGCTGTCTACAGGGTCCTCAACCGGAGAGTAAGCGTGGATGTCACCAGTGACCATGAGTTCTGGAGAAGAGCAGAGGGGGAAGAGAAGCCGCTATACCCCGCTGTCCCCTGTTCAGAGGTGACACTGCTATAGGACGGCACAACTGACACCTCTGCAGGTGCTTGGAAGCAGTTACTAAGCCAGCCCTTGGTTCTCCACTCTAAATAACCAAATTGCTTTGCTCTTCTGCAGAGGATACGTTTCTATGCATTCATCATACTGAAAAAATCCTTCCTTGGTCTTTCCAGTTTTTCTGCACTAACCACAGGAAAGGTGCCAACATCTAAGGAAAGCTCGGTATATTCAATATGTCACCTCCTTAGATATTAATGACTTTGGGTTCATCAAGTATTATTCTCTAAGATTCAACATTTAATAGAAGTAAATGAAAATATTATACTAGTCTAATGGCCTAGACTTACAAAGTCCTCTAGTTCATTAGCACCACCTTTAACTTCTCTAAGCTATTAAACTTTCATTCAAAGCATCTGCCCCTACCATTTTCTTAAATAACAGAATGAGAAGAGAACCTGACTTTTTGTTTTCAGTGGCTATTTATTTTAACTTAATCCAGAATCTGACATTTTCAGAGCTAGCATATTATTTCCAAAAGAGATGGTAGAAACAGGGTAAGCCAAACTTGACCAATTATGATAAAATTTGTAAGAGCAACTGATAAGTGGCATTCTTCATAATGCAAAGACTATTACATTTAAATCACTTTCATTGTGAAATGTGTCTCTTGAAATTCAGTAATTTAAATGAGACTAGTGTTTAATGGTATAGGAATACTTTGGTAATCACACTTTTCATTTATTCCACATAAAAGGTCCCTTTCAAAATAACTAAAATGGAAACATATACCTTCTCTTTTTAGCTGAGATTGGAATTGTCATGAACATAGTGATGGCAAGATATTGGTCACTTTTCATAAACAGCTTTCAAAGGCAGTTTAGAAAATTTATCTAGAATGAGAACAGTTCAATTCCTATTTTTACTGCAAGGACTTCAGCATTACATAGAGACCACTGTTTAAAGGATTTTTCTCCCACAAAAGTCTATGTTTTAATTTTCTATTCTGTCTCAGCTTTTTGGACAAATAGCTCACAGTAAAAAGTGTCTTCATAAAAAAGGAAGCTAATCAATACAATGCTAAAAAGATACAGTTTTCAAAACTACTTCTTTTGAAAGAGAAATAAGGCAACGTAATGTCTAACAGTAGTCAAATGAGCACTGTAGCAATTTGTGGGTCCCACAAAATGGGAACCCTGCCGTAAATCAGATGAATACTCCACGTTCTCTGGCTATATATGTAAAGAGAACTTTACTATATGAAAAAGTCTTACTTAAAAAGAAATTTCTGGCCACTACTTTCCCCATAAAAAAAAAAAGTTAGAATAATCAGTTATAAGTAAAAATCAAATAAAAGACTCCTTACACCAATAAAAGCCTGGTGTAATATCTCAGAGTAATCTTAAATGTTTAAATACTATCAACTTTAGGTTATCATTTAGTCAAACATTAGACAATCACAACGGGCCTCGCCTTGTGACTGATGAGAAATAGTTTTCAGGGCGTTTTTCAGTGCATAAGAAGGAAGTCTATTCTGAAAAAGTGTCAGTTCAAGAAGATAACACCTCAGTTTCTTCTAGTTGTAAGATCTAGGTTTATGGTCAGACTTAGCTGATGTGCACTGCAGTCTCCCTGTGGCTCCCTGGTCACTCTAAGGCCCATCGGATGCCATCATTCACTCCTCAGATAATCATTTTACTTTGCAGCAGTCCTGTGGGGCACTGAGCATCTCAGTTTAGGTTATATATAGATGAGATTTTTCTCCTCCGAAGCTTGCCAACCCCTCAGCCCAGTTCCAGACCCTGTAGAGAAGTGAGGCTAGAGAACAGAGGCAATTCCAACCACAGCCCGTGCACTGACCTCCTCAGGCACAAGCGGCTCGATCATGGGCGCGTCCTCCTGCCTGGCTGCCAGCCGCACCGGGGAGGTGGACAGCCTCTTCTCCCACTCATTGGTGACGGCAGTGTCTGTTGAAGTTTCTAAGAAGGTTCTTTTCAGCTCACTGATGTTAGTCTGGTGTTTCATCAGGTCATCTTGAGTTTTTTCTAGCTCCTATATTCAGAATATAAAATATCCAATAGTCAATGCTTTATGTTTGTTTTCCTTTCAGCTCCTGTATTGATTGATTGATTTTTAACATAATGTGAATCTTATTAGTAGTCAAAATAAAACAGAATTTTGATCAGGGCTCATGGCACTACCACAAACACTCTGGTGAAAATATGATACTTCCACAGAACAGAAAGGAGGGGGCAATCTAGTTCATACAAGCATAATACCAAAAAAGTGTAATTCACATGTAACTAGAGAGAATTAAAATAAATACACACATAGGAAAAGGGATCTATATGTAGGAGAGAATACAAAAATCAGAGTAAGCTGAGAAGTGATCCCCGCTTAGCAACAGGTGAACACACAGTTCATGCATCATGGTAGGAGGCTCACACATAGTCCACAAAAAACAACACACACAGACATGCACTGGTCTGTACCAATACCAACCTCTAACATAAGATTACTATGTTTGACATACACATTTTCACCCTTTATTCGCTTAATCAGACTATTCTGAAAAAGTGGAGAAGAAAGGGAAAAGTAAGGGGTACAGTAGTCAAGGGAACAAACGCCATCCTCACACACGGTACCCACGACACACGGCAACCAGCCACTGAGCATGCGACAAGATGGAACGCTGGAGACAGACCAGGGCGTTCCACACACTGGGTTTTGTGTATGTTTTTGTTTTTGATTTTCTACCTGTGCCTTGAGCTCTGCGTCTTCCTCCTGGTCCGACTGCCAGCATCAAGAAAGAGTGGGGAAATACAGTCTTACCATGCAATTGACTCTGATTGAAGGACTACGTTCTGGGTAAACTTGCTAACTGTGGTGCGCTCCTGCATATGGATGATGACGTTTCTTTCTTACACAGAAACCAAAACATTCTCACACACAAATTATAAAGTTTAATAAGAATATAGGAGTAAAAGATTCCTTGCCCAATGGGTCTTTGGCATTTTAATGAGCAGCTCCATGTGGTTGAGTTGAGAAGGTGACAGCAAGAGCTTGGAAGCTTGTCCTTAATGAACATTAGAAATGGTTCAGGAAGTGTGAGGAGCCAGATTAAAATTAAAACTCAGAAGAATGGCTAGGATAATGAGAGCCCCCTCGCAGGGTATGAATCTTAACCTAGGAGATTAGCTATGATGATCCCCAATTTGCAGGTAAGCAAATCCAGGCTCAAAGAATTTAATAAAGAGGCTCCCACATTTTAAAATTTCTTAAAACCTTGATTTTCTTAAATCTATACACTTAAAGACAAATTTGGGAAGAGAGCAGATTGACATGGGGTAATTAAGGAATTTAAAAAAATCAACTACTATCAGTAACACTATCATTTCTTTGGAAGGGAGACAGGACAATTTCTGAGATTGAAAAAAATGTATCCTTAACAAATATAAAATGGCCAGTTTTGATCCTGTCAAGGAACAACTTTATCTCCTAAGAGCATGAACTCCTTGCTTACTTTTGTTGGTTTAAACCCTAATGTATCTGCAAGTAAAACTGCAACAAATTACAATATATGAAAACACCACATTGTACCCCATGATTGCATTAATGTACACAGCTATCATTTAATAAAAAAAAAAAGAAAGAAATGTATCCCAAAGCCATTTCTTTATCCTTATTTTTATCATTCTAAGGACCTACTGAACCCATGGACTGGTATCTGAGTATCAGTAACTAGTAGGCAGGCCAAGACCTTTTGGCTCTTGGACTGGAGGTTGGGGACTTATGCTCCTGTGCTATAATAAGACCTAGACTGAAATTATAAGGAAGAAAGGGGTGCACTACCATTAAATGCTGTTAAGCAACTCATTTGGTCTACCGGGGTCTCAGTTTCCTCATATGCCAGTGAGGACAGGCCGCCCACTGTGATGTCCTGCACGGCCGCACCTCTGTGCTGGCCCCCTGATGAGAAGGGAGTGTTCAAACCCTGTCACAGCACACACAGGTGACTGTAACACCGTGCTGTGACATGCTAACTCTTCCATGTGCTTGAAGGCCACAGTTCTCTACTTTGTCTTTAAGCGTCACCATCTATCTAATGTACATGGATTCCCTTGCTTGCTTAAATCATTTCATACAATAACAAATTTTAAAACTACTATAGAAATGTGAAGTATCATTATTAAATATCTTTCATTTATAGCACATATTACGATTTCAACGAAATTTATTGACTATATTGCCCTGTGGATACCTGTAACTCTTACAAAATCAAGACGCTATCTTGCTATATCTGGCATAGAAAATTATTAACTTAGAATAGATTTATATATAAATGCTTAAAAGAATCTGGATAACAGTTGTACAGTATTACCTTTCACTTTAAAAAATTATGATTTTCAAGTTTTAAATTGAACTCTGGCATTTGTAAAGAAAGAAACTTAATAAAATGACCTTGTGAAACTGTTTTTTTTCCTGATACTTCAATTAAGTGATTCATAACATTTCTACTTCTTTCTCAATAGCCAACTAGAAAATACGATTGGATGATGTAGAAAAGAACACGTGACCTAAAATCAACATTACTACAGCACAAACTGAATTCTGCTGGCATGCTTCAGAAAACACAGGCTAGGACTTCCATTACTTTAGGAAATACTGTTAGTTCTGTGAGAGAAGATGTGAAAAACAACATAAACCCCCACACAAACACACTCTATCTCACAGAGACATACATGTTTAAGGTAACCCACAGCAGAATCAATAGTGGAGAATCACAGTTAGCTCTCCAATCACTGTTCAGTGTGTTCTAAAGTGCTCATTTTCCTTAAGAGAATTCATTTCTTACGAGTGACCTAGGCTATAGACCAAAGGATAAAAAAAAAACTGAGTTAAGGTAAGTATTATTTTAACAAGAATTATTTCACCATTTGGGGTTTAAAAATATATTTGTGTGCAGCCATTTAGTTAGGTAATTAGATAGAATTAAACGCAACCCTTCTTCCCCCTCAACGTGGCTGTCATACATAGACAGCCTCTCTTTGGGGACAGGAGAACTTTTTAAAATAAATGGGTTATCATTTTAGGCAAGTGGTTCTCAAAATGCGATCTTAAGATTAACAGAGTCAACATCACCTGGGAATACGTTGGAAGTATAAATTCTGGAATCCCACCTAGCTCCTCCAAAGGGAAGCTCGAGGCTGGGCACCTCCAGGCGATTCTGATGCAGAGCCTGAGAACCACTGGTCTAGGCGGCCCCTACTGCTATGGTCAGAACTGATCTCCACTCCAAATGCTGACATGCGGACTTCTGAGACGCGGAACTGCCCAACATGGCATTTTCATTAGGCAGCCACCAATCACCCTCCATCATGACACCAACCTCGGTGGCGGTGGTCTCCCCATCAGCTGCGGTGTCCGTGCGCTCACTGTCAGTCTGTGGACCACAGAAGTGATGGGGTTCCAAGAGCAAGGCAGGGATAGAAAATAAACCATCCGGTCAAACGGGCTGGCACACGTGGCGGAGCTCCCATCTGTATCAGACTACCACCCCACAAGAACACGGATTCAAGCAAAAGCAAAAGAAGGGCCAGAGCTAGGGATGGTCACCAGAGCCCACTCCGAGGAAGACCCGAGGTGCCCAGCCTGCAGGAAGTGCAGCAGCCGGACTGCCCTGTCTGCTTCGCTGTCTCAGGGAAACCAATTTGTCATCCCCACCCCACCCCCACCTCTTAACTAAAACCCCGAATGAGATGGCCTAAAAATGTTTAATGCAAATAAAATTAATGTTTATGTACATTTCATTCTAGTAGTATGTCTAGTAGTAATATGTTACCCTTAGAAAGGTAAATGAAAAATGTAAATTTACATTAAAAGCTACTGAAAACAGTCACTGGACTTTCAGCCCCTCATTTATACCATTTTGATAATTTACATTCATGTATGGCCATCAGGCTGTCTGCATTACCTATTAATTAGAAAATGCACATGCCAGGGACTCACAGGCATGTCTTATATGTGAAAAATGTAACTCAATCTTCAAGGAGCATTGCTAACTGGATATTTTTAAGACTATACATTACGTTTACTTTGCTCCATCCTCCATATATCAAAGTATGTATTTAAACATCTTCTTCCAAAAATACCATTCAAATGAACCAAATAACAAGGATAATTTAAAAAAATATAGAGACATCTACTTGGAAACAAATAAAACAAAGCACAGCATTCGACAGAGCCCCCCGGTTTTTACGGGAGAATTAGAATAGTCATTTCAGGTTTTTAATCTGTTTCACAGGAGGCTATGATTTAAAACAAGCATCAAGCCATGGACAGCTCAATGCCCTGATATAACACTGACTCACTTTCCCTTCCATCAAATACAAAGTAATCATTCATGAAATTCCCTTGATCAAAGATTTGTGATTCATACTTTGAAAATAAAATTCAAAACTGGTGGTCTAAGATTGAGAATTTGCTTCTTAAAATAATCTCTTACTCTCAAGATAAGACGTGTTATTTCTACTGACACAACTCTGGCTATGCTGACTTCTTGGCACTATCCAGTTTCATTTCATATATTCCTGGAAAGCAAAGGACTCAGAATGCATATTCGGTACCTGTACCCGAGGACACCATTCTGGCAACCTTGCTATGAAACCTAAAATAATTTGCAGGAGGTTGGTGAAGAAAGCGTGCTGACACATTTTTGTGACCTCACCAGCTTAGTCAACAACTAGGGGCAGGGGGTGCTTATTAGTTTTGTTACAAAGGTGATGGTGGCTATGGTATTAGCATGGTTTCCCGAGCTGACAGCCTCGGGAAAGGCCAGTTGGAATGAGTAAGAGAAAGACTGGCTGTTTGTTCAAGTGTATAGAATAATCCCCAGATCTTAGGCATTCATGAATAAGTAAGAACGACTTGTGCTTAGTGTCCTAATTAGTTATATCAAACACTTCTAAATCTGGAAAGTAGATGATTTCTCTTATGGTTTTAAAATTTACTTCAGTAACTTTCAAGCACCACAGAATTAGAGTCAGAGTTGAAAGCGAGGGAAAGTTTGAGTCAGACTGGCATGAGCTCAGATCACTGCTGTTCACGCCTCTGACAGAGTCCTTTTCCTATTTTAATCCCGGCTTCTTTCCTGTAATATGGGGAAAATAACAGCCCTAACTGTGTTGGATAAAGGATGCTTTAAGTGCTTTATATAGTGCCTGACATACACAGAGCTGAAAATGCCTAGAATCATTAGAATATATTAATATTACTATGACATAATTATCACTACTATTTTTCCTATCCGTTTCTAAATGCTCTCAAACTCCTACTTAGCATTTAGTCAACAGCACAGTGCCTGCTCAGTAGTCAATAAATGAAGTAATGAAGGTTGTATAAAGCAGCCTTTATAGCAACTGTTATTTTCACAATGTGTTGTAACTACACAGAACTGCAAATGTACAGCAAATCATAAACTATTGTGTAACCCTATCTTTACATTATTTAAAATGTTAGAAATCGGTTGACCAAGTGTTTTTTTTTTTTTTTTCCAGATTTGAAGCTATCTCCTTTTTCTCCTTATGGTATGAGGAGCTAAATTGATCTTGTTTCTTGACAGATGATTTGATATTCTGCCCCTTCTCATCTGACCATTCTAAAAGCACACAAGAGAAAAAAATATGGGGGGCTAACAGCTTCATCATCGGAATTGATTGAAGCTTTTTAGACTGAGTTTCACTCTTGAGAAAGGCTGGAACTAATTAAGCCACTATAATGTGAAAAATATAAGGAGTGATGATAAAATATTTAAAAAGAATTACAGTCATCAGTGATTTTGCAAAATTAAATTGACAGTGCTGAACCATATACTAAGAAGTTACCCAGTGTAGCTGCCAAAGTGCTTGAGGCCTAGATAATAAAACAGGCCATGTAAGTAAATGCTTTTTTTTTTTTTTTTTTTTTAAATGAATGACCTAAATATAAGTTCTCTAGCTCAGCCTGAACCAGAATGCACAGCTCTTAACACTTGGGGTTAAGAGACAACATTGCACAGATGGCCAGACACAAAGCCGAGTGGCAGGAGAGCTGTAGCGGCTAAGGCTGCAGAGGGTGAAGGTGATTCCCGTGGTGACAGCTAATTCATGGTTTCAGAGGTTTGCAAGTAACGAGGACAGCCATGACTGGGATGCCCCCATCACGTGGGCACTAGCTGGTAATAATTAATTGCTGTGATTTGTTTTGCCAGTGTAATGCAGACATGCCCAAGTTGAACATTAATTCTCATGCACTGATTACAACAAGATGCAGGCCCTGGATTAGGCACAAGATCTGTGTGGTTTGCTCTCTCAAAGTTCAGACAGTCATTTAGAATTTAGAGAAGCAGAGCACAGCAATCTTTCTTTGCTTTATGTTAGGTTGATGACTAACTCTATAGCTAAAGGGAAAACAGATCTCCACACGTTAGAAATCAGTTAATAATATAAACATCATCTGTAGATAATAATTGTGTTCTTCACTGTACTATGTTCCAGTCCTACACTATTTGATCATATTGGTGCTGTAATACAGATTTTAAAACCTAGGATTTACGGTAGTTCCCAAAATATTTTCCATGAAGAAAAATAGTTATTTTCTTTATATACACACACACATACACAGGAGTTGGAGCTAATCATAACATGTAACCTGAGGACCTTGAAAAGGACTCTTATGCAGTATCAATTGAAAAGCCTAGACTTTTATTTGAAATACCTGTGAGATCATTTATATTTTTTTCCCTTCTGCTGCAAAGAAATGGCCATAATACCACTAAATATAGGTCCTTACACACCTTGCAATTGTATATACTCATAGGTGCAGCTCAAATTATGACTTTCTAGCTGAGCATGGAACAGAATAGACTTTCTTTCCTTTTTTAGTGCTGCCTTGACACTGTGAAATTTTTTTTAAATGCCAGGTTATCTGGCGTGTCTCCCGCCACAATGGCCCTTGTTCTGTGAGAACAGGAGAGCTGGAGGGAGCCTGGGGAGAGGTGTGTGCTCGGGGGTGTGTGACAGTAGGCACCTCTGGTGGCAGCTTCTATTCTTTCTTGCTGTGAAAGAGGCGAGAAGGGAAAGTGCTGGGCTGTTCCCAGGGCTGTGGGAGTGATGGGGCAGGAGCGCAATTAAGAGGAAAAATCCCTGGCTCCCATGTCAACTCACCCAGGTGCTCAGGTGAGGGACAGGAGCCGGCCCGGTGGCAGCCTGACCGTCCTTCAAGGAAGGAGGGTGACGGCTCAGGATCTTTCCACCCTGTATGTGTCCATGCCTGGCTGACAGCGACAGAGGCCTAGCCAACTTTCCTGACTGTACTACACTGTGGAAATGGGAGGCTTTTCCCCCTCTTTTCTCCTGCTGATGTGGAAAGAACCACTGCATCTGAGATCTGCACTGGCATTGCTAATGCTGATGAAATTGCAGCCCTTTCTCGTAATGGGGAGAGACCTCAGTTTGGCCTTGGCTGTTCTGAACACTGCTGCACGGCATGCGGTCTTTCTGCCCTGCCAATGACTCATGTCATGTGGGTGTTTTCAACTGCTCCACAAGTTCTTTCTGACCCAGCATATGGTGGGATCTCATTGACCTACCGACCGACCTCTGTGAGTAACAGTGACCCATCTGGTAATGACAATCAGAGGTGGGGGCATTTCAGAATCTCCAGGGAGATGCATTTGCAATTTTGGAAGCTACCCAGACAAAGAGATTCATCCCCTATGGTGGGGCTCTCTCCCTCCTCTTCTTCAGTATCATTTAATTTGAAAATTAGTGATCTTCCTTTTATGTGCTCAACCTTATTAAACGACAATTGATCAAAACCTTGAACTTAGCCCTGATCTTGTGCACAGCTAATGTGTTTGTTATTCAAACCCCACATAGAACTCAGTGGGTAGCAGAACAATTCTGGAAGGGGCTCAGGCTGCTACATCCATCCACATGGTGTTGTGCCTAACCCTGGGACCCGGGTTGGACTCCCCAACACACAAAAACCTCAACAGATTGGCACAGACAATAAATGAGGCTCTGAAAGTGGGGCCGTGCTCGTGGCGGCCGGCTAACACTGTTTCGGACTGAAGCACGGAACACGAAGGGGAAGCGTGTTCTATGCCGAGGTACACACCTCTTCCTCTGAACTGTCACTCGGGTCATTGTCTAGGGAGGCGCTCAAGGAGGCTGCCTTGGGCTCCAGGTAGCAGAGGCACAGAGCCAGAGGGAAGGAGAGAGTGAGAGCATATGGCACTGAGAAGGAGGCAGACAGCAGAAAGAAAAAGATGAAGAGGAAACAGGGCACGAGCGAGGGGGAGTGGATCGGGAGGTAATGCTGCAAGCTCTGGGGCAGGAGGTTGGTTTCAGAAAGGTTGGGGAAAGACAGGTACCCATCATCGTCCAGGAGGGAGGGGAAGGACTCGGGGAGCTGCAAGGAGAAGGAGAACAGGGTGGTCCCTTTGCCAGTTTGCTGTCTGTAGCTAAAAGCCACATCTTGCTCCCCTAGGTATGGCTTCCCTTGGCCATCAGAGTCCAGGCAGGGATCTCCGGGCACATGCTCGGCTTTGCAGGGCTCACCGCCCTGCGTTTTGTGCTCATTCTCTTTACACCTCCTGCGCAGCTCTGTGGGAGAGGTAGGGGCACAATGGGATGATGGGGGTGACAAGGGACATGAGTCAGTGCCAAGCTCAGGTGACTGATGTGAAAGAGACAGAGAGAGACAGAGAAGCAGCAACAGAGGTGCAAAGGACAAAAAGAAAACTGCAATTAGTTAATTTTCTTATGGGTATCAATATAAAATTGTAAAACAAGACTTTTAGCACTAGGGTTGCTCATGAATTTTAAAGTATCCAAGCTGCATGCTGCAGTTCTCTCATCAGACCATCAAATACAGGGTGGGTTACTCACTTATTATTATCCTTTTAAGTTAGAACAGAAGGTATTTGTGGGCAATCCCAAATTCTACATTTTTTCATATGATCAAAAAGTTTGTTTTAGACCAGCAACTCTAGAGGAGTTTTAGGGTTTTGAGACCAAACATAAATCTCTGAATAACTTAAAATCAAGACTTTCAATAACCTTCTCCTGATCTCTGGGTAATAGAGCTGTTACTATAGTTCAGCTGATTAAAAATGAAGATGAAATCCAATCCAAATTTTGATTATTTAAAAAATCTCCAGCATTACTTCTTTCTTTGGTTAGTCAAATGCATCCAAAAGAGGTAAGTTTCTGGCCCCACTCCTATCTGCTAAGCTGTCATAATCAGGGGAGTCAACAATCAGCATTTCAGGAACTCTGTCTCCCCACAAATAATTGAGGCTCCCTCAAAAACATTGGCTCCTTTACCTAGGGTGTCAGTGCAACTTTAGCACAAGCAGACGGTTTCAACATGCTAACTAGCAAAAGGATTTTTTTTTAAATAAGTTGGTTTGTGTTTACTTTCTATTATTTATGATTTATAATTTCCCAGCCTTATTCTGATTTTTCTTAGCAGATAAAGGACATATTCACACCTTTGGTTTGAGCCTTAAACAAGCATTCTCACAAAAGAGCTCCTATCCTCCCTGGGCCCTGGAGGTCTCCATGACCATGGCAACTTTCCTCTGCAGGTGCCAGAGTGGCCGCTGGCACAGGGGAAGGAGGAGAGACAGCAGTCCCAGGCAGGACCTGGACATGCCCAGTAGCTGCTGCAGCCTGGGAGTTCAAGGGAAGGTCACACGGAGGCTGAGGCTAATTAGACTTTTGCTGCTGCCTCTGACTCTGTGTGTGTTTGCGTGTGTGTGTGTGTGTCCATGTGCATGTGTGTTGTTTGCCTAGCGACCAGACAGCATGAAAATTACCCAACCTGCCTGTGGTGGCTATCCAATCCTGACTTGGAGAGAAGTGGTAAATATAGCAACAGAGAAAGAAAATGCACAAATAAAATTATATCTAAGGCATGAGGGAAGGAAAATGCGCCAATAAAATTATTACCCTGGGTATATATGAGCATTAGATGTGTCTCTTTTTACTACGAGGCAAAGATGTCTTTTCCCACATGCTCACATTTGACATTAAGCACTGCATTTCAAACAGGAACCTTAACAAATTTCACTCAACTAAGAATAATGTAGAAGTTACAAGCCGCCTCCTACATGGAGACAATGGTCCTCCAGCAGGGAGGTGAGGCGGCCCAGTCACCCAGGAAACACGCCTCCTCTCCAGGCAGGCAGGGGACCAGTCTTTAATGACTATTTTCAGTTATACATTTTCATTTTGGTTAAGGAATAGGAACCACTTGCGGTTCCTAAGTATCCTCTATGATACTTTCTGAAGATGGAGAAGAATAAAATGAAGGTCTAACCTTCTGTGCTGCCCATCACAGTGGTTCTTAAAAGACAGCTTAGCTCTGGGGAAACAGAGCTGACCATCACCTAGGTTAAATCCAGGATCTCACCTGAGGGCTTGAAAGCACTCTGCTCAAGTGCTGGATTCTCAAAAACTCAGCCTCAGGGGTGGTAGTTTTTCTTTGCCTTTTTAAAATTCCTCTGGCCCAAGTGGCAGAGTGAGGATTAGCTTAGTGTTATTGCATTTTACACCAAACAAATTGGTGGTCTTTTAAAGACAAACTGAGTGAGCCTGTCTGAGCCTCTTAGAGGTGCAAACCAAGAATCATTCCTCTTCTGTGTCCCTTCACTGTCTTTATACACTCACCATCCTATGTCGGCCTGGGCACTTTAAGGAAATATTGGGATAACTAAGTAGAAGAACTACATATGGACATTTTGGGTGCATTACCTTCTTTTCCTGTCCTCTTTAATACTTGCCTTGACTGAATTAAGAGCATAAAAACAAAATTCAGAACAAAGCACATTTTAACAGCAACGTGATCCTAATATGCCACCCATGCTTATTTTTGTGTTTGCCAAATAAATAATCTTAACCTTAAAAAAAATGACAGACTGGGTCACTTGGAATATTCTAACATAACTACAAGGATCATTTTGCTTATTCACCATTAAGATGTTGCTGCTAAATTCCTGTTACCAAGCAACACTGACTTTCCATGGAGTCTGCAGTGGTGATTCCCTATCACATCCCTCTGTATCTGAAGAGCCAGTGTGCCAGAGAACACTCAGGAACCAGCTCGCCCCAGGCTGGGGTGACCTGAGGGTTACACCCACATTTCATTCTGCTGTTTCCTTCAACTCTGTGCTCTGCACCTGCCAGGAGCTGCTCTGTTTCCCCTTATTATTAGGTCTACACCTCCCTGTGTGTCTTTCAACTTCTATCTTTCTGGAAAGTTGCTTTAGAGGGGTGGATCACCAGAAATAAACATATTGTCTAAAAAGAAATTTAATTTTGGGTGAAATGATATCACGAAATTTAACAAACATAAAACACCAGAAAAACCTGCTGCTAAATTTACGTTTTCTCTTCTGTCACAACCTTCTGCCTTAATCTGCCTTTTCAAAACATGGCTACTCACCACTATGCTGATGAGATTATAATTATACCACTAAGAAAGGAAACAATGTCTGAACACACAGGCTACGGTCACCTAAGGCTCCTGCAGTCTGAAGAGTAGCAGCAATGTGATTACTGTGTATCTAGAAACACACTCCACGCTTGGGTAGGAGAATGGGGCCAGAAACGAAGAAAACAACTTTCCTGACGTTCTGAGATACAAGCCCAAACCGAAATGTGTAAACATGCCACCAAAAATCTTTTTAAGATATACGTACAGGACAGCTGTTGAAAGTCTTACATAGCACACAAGTTGTTAAGATTAACTTTTTTTAAAGAGTCACAAAAGAAATTTTCAGAGGAAAAATGCTGAAATAGAAATAAAAATTTAAAAATTGGCCTGTGAACATGACCCAATGTGATATATGAACTACCCTGAGTCTGAACACATTCCTGGTATACATTCTCAGAATTAAGCATTCTTAAAACTTGCAACAAGCTCTGGGAGGCAGCCTGGGAGCTATACCTTTCCCTCGTGCCGGACGGCCGAGACCGGCGTGACCTCCTCTGCCTTCTTCCGTCCGTCCTCTTCCTCGTCCCGCTCCTCCTCAGCCTTTTTCTCGGGAGTCACAGTGGTGATCAAATTGGTCTGAGAGATGCCCTTTGTTGTGGCGTACTGGCCAGTACCAACCTCTGCAGCAGACATAGAATCCTTCATGTATATTTCATGGTTTTCATTCACTGATGCTAAAAGCAAATGCAATTGAAGAGATAAAATCGGAAATAGTGAAGTCAGAAGACAGATGAGCACCACCAATCGTCCCACTACTGGAAAAAAAAGCACAAAATATCAGGTTTGTCCCGACAAATCAGCACCAGAGGCACCTTTATTTAAGCGCGGCCATAGAGTCACCTTTCGGCATTACCTAACCCGGTGCTCTAACATTATTTAAATGCTTATGTCTTGAAATCCCAGAATAATTCTCAACCATTCTCAGGCTCTCTGGGCAGGATGTGAGTTAGGCAGAGGTGAGGCGGAGCACTGCCAAGCTTGTTACCCCAAGTCTCTGGTGAGGCTTGAGCACCAGCACTTGGGGGCCAGTCCCACAACTAACAGCAGTATTTCCAGTAGACAAATGCTCTCACACGCCTGACTTTAAGGACATCTTTGGAAGTGCCATTCAGCACAGAACACCAAATTGGTTTTATTATCATTATCATTAATGTTGAAAAGTCTATCTCTCCTACAGTATAAGAGCCCCATGGGTAATAATAAAAATGAACCATCTTGGCAGAGATTATAAAATTCAGATGGCAATTCCGTCCAACTAAAGAAAAGAAATGTTTTAATTTCTACTGGTTCTTAGAGAGAGTACCGTAATATGCATACACATTTGTTTATCTCTAATATTTTGGGAAAACAAGACAAATGTTAAATGAAATTCATGCAAATGCAAAACGTGCAAACACAAAGGCTATAAGACACAGCCTTTCATCCCAGCTAAAATGCCTTAGTGAAAAAATATTTAATTTAGCTGAATTTTAAATTTTGGTAGTCATTAATTCAAGTTTTTGATATCATAAAATTTATTAAAACTATAAATGCTGCTTTTCAAATACATAGTAGCCAATCACAAACAAAATATAGCTGTCATTTATAATTTAGAAACTTCAAAACAAACAAAAGAAAGGATTCTGAAAAGAAATCTTCTCTGAAATCCACTTAATGTCACTGAAGTATGTTCACTAAGGTATTTTATACTGATGAAAAAGCTCCTATGAGACACAGCTTCCCAGTGGACAGGTTAGGCTATTCTCCATAGAATGCCACCTTGCAAAAAGGTGTTTTTGTCCCAACATGCAGCCATGACAGCCGGCTCAGCAGCAGCAGAAAACACACCAGGGCTGGCAGCGCCACAAAGAGAGACAGACAACACATACTAACATCACTTTGGGCAGGGAGGAAGAGACAGCATGGTATTAGTACATTGAGTTCAATGTCTTCTGTCTTCTCAGCAGTCATTAGCACACAAAAGGTCATGAAGAAAACAACATTCACAACAAATGTGTTCCCTGGGGTGCACATCGCTGAACAAAGTGGAAGGTATTCAGGAGAAAAAGGTGTGGACTTTCTACTAAATCTCCTCAAATACTGACTTACAGAACAGACAAATAGTTAACAGAGATTTTCTAAAGGAGGAGGAGAGTCCAGGGGACAAAGTAGAAAGAAAAGCTTCAATGTTAACAGGATGTACCAACATCTTAATTCAATTCAAAACAGTCCTGATATATTTTATACCAAGGTATTGGCTCTAAGTTTAATATTCCACAAATTCTTAGAAGATACAGAATGGTAATTAACTTCCTAAGCCAGCTCATAAAAACCTATAAGAAGAGTTATAATATAGTCCTGGAGATAATCCTATCTATAATAAAAAATGCTTTCACACACATATCACTTGCTCTTCACAATGACCCTGTTGAAAGCTGCCTTGCTCCCATTCTACAGATGACTAAAACTGAGACCTGTGGAAATGAAATCATTTGCTGAGCCTCTCTGAGGAGCAGTGGCAAAAAAGGTAGGATGGGAGAAGGTAACTTTTATTTATGCTTTTGCTTATTAGTGGAATCTTACATGCATGCTAGAGACTTTGAACACTTTATTTGCACAGTATTAAATTATTTTATAGAAAAACTAATCTCCAGGTGTTTTGAATTAGATGACAGAGTGCTGGCCAAGAATCAGTTCCAAAGTATGAGTACAGCTGGCATGCCTTGCAGCAGAAAGCACACTTCTCTATCACTTGGGACAGCAATACAAAACTGTTAGACAAGACAAAACCCTACTAAAAACTCACTGTTATCCCCTAAAAGGCAATTGGAGTGATCATCTCCTTGTTTTACTCATTTGACTTACACATTTGACTTGGCAGCTCAGAACCTTTACACAGCAACGTTCTGCCAATCCATCTGGAATAGTGAGTAGGCAGGAGAAGGGAACTTAGAGCCCCTCGGCTTAGAGCTCTTTGCTCTCTGTTATTTGAATGCCATCCTTTCTACCAGCTATTATCAATTGATAAAGTCTGCATTTTATTTATAACATTTTTCAGAAGAGATAAACTTAACTTTCACTTTTATGAAACAATCTGAGACAAACCTGCTAATCCTTTAAGATCTGTTGGTCAAGATTCAAATTACCGATAGGGTATGACCATAAGCGTTAGAATAAGAGGATCTTTTTCCAAATTCAGGGTGCTGGCTTATGAAAACTATGCTCTTATTCTCTAATTACCATTCTTTTGTGTAATTTTATATAAATCTATAGACAAAGTGACAAAGGCGCTTTTAGAGGCTTAAAAATCTGACATTCAGCCATAGATCAACGACTGCTTTTCAATTTACAACATCTAGAAGATCTAAGTTTCTTGAAAGCCCATGATGGTTTTGTAGCCGTTTTGATGCAGCCATGGAGGGCCAGGAAGTGATGCCTACCTCCATCCAAGCTGCGAGACATGGTGTAGCGTTTGCTGGATGACCGCTCGAAGTAAGGCGCTGGGCGATCTATCAACGCACTGGCTCGCCTGGTCTGGGCTTGCGTTCTGCCACTATAACGGAACTTGGAACCCAAGGTTAGGAATTTTTTTGGCGGTGCTTCTGGTAACAACAGTCTAAAGAGATTAAAGAAAAACACCAGAAGGACTAAGACAAATATTAAGAACTTTTTTTTTAACGTTTTACTCCATCATGAGAGGCTATATGCTTTGTGTGCTAAAGGTTTAATGCATGACCTGCAGTTACATGAATATAATTTTGTAAAAAAAAAAATCAATTTGTGTAGTTTATGCCAACTAGAGATGTTATAGAGAGGATATAGGCAAAACACGGTGTGTTAAACTAGATACATTTTAACGTTCTGTGCAAGTGGAGGGTCTGTAGGTCTGACAACATGAAAATAGGTGATATTAGTGAAGAAGAGTGACAATTTATTATTTTGTAGGCACAAATTTCCTGGGCCAAGAAACATATGTGGATCAAGGGTATTGAGAAGTTATTGAAATAAGTAAGGAGTGGACTGTATATATGAAAGGGACATCCTACAAAAACAATGAAAAGATGCTACAGATAATAAAGAAAGGGGGTAGGGCAGGTAAGTACACGACAAAGTAAGAAAAGCCGTCAGGTTCAGTCAGCAATTCTTTTAGGATTTTTTTTTTTTTAATGAAAAAAATCTAGTGATAATGAATTTGAAGTAACAGGAAGGGTATACTTCCATATTCTTCTTCCCAACCTTTTTCACTACCAGCAATTCCAATTATCCCAATTCTTCCTTAGGAAAAGTACAAAATCATCTTTACCTACCGGAAAAATGTATGGTGCTCAACACACACTTTCCATAAACGCTTGGCCGCTCGATGGTTTGGCAGCTTAAACCCAATGGTACTTTCGAATTGTTCAAACTAAATTTAAAACAAAAATACGCTGAGAGTAAAGTTCTGGAATTACAAATAACAGAACTCTACAAATAACTGACAAATCATTAATACCACCCCAATTTTTTATTTATTTACTAAATCAACTGCTATATACATAATTCACACTATATACATTCATTAATAAAAAACCTTATCTGTCTCCTTAAAATGCTGCAGGTATAAATAAACACATTATATGTGTAGTAAATGTTTTTGGTACAAGTATGGATCTTATGCAAACCAACACACATAAGAGGCTATATGGATTTCTTCCAGAGATCAACCTGTCCTGATCTAATTTTTGAAATTTATTTCCATAGTTTCTCAATGACATAACTTCAATTGGAATGTACAGAAATGAACCAAATGTTTACAGACAGTCTTCAGCATTCTTAGAAATATTTTCTCCTAGGATCTAGCTAGGCAATGTGTATATTTCCTAGGTGTTTCATGACCTAGCAACAGATACTGCAGATTTTACCTGTGGGTTCCACAGTGCATTATCATGTTAAATATCACCGTCTCTCTATATGACAGGCAAGATCAGAGATTAGGAGAACATATTTTTCAAAATGTATATTGAAGATGACACCCATCAGCCACTGGATTTTTCAAGATGAAATATCTCATCTGATTTCTTCCATAACACATTTTAACATTGTTATTACAGATGCACAGTAAGTTTTTATTTTCTGAAGATGGGATGTATCAGGCCACCAGAGGGCAATCCTCTGAAGGCTTTCTGAAAGAGCATAAAACAACCAGACTACTGATGTGGCCTGCAGCAAAAAGTAATTTCTGTGGCAAAGAACCAAGGTGAGGGGTCGTATGCACAGCACATGGGACACAATGTCACTTGACCTCTATTTCTTGTTTGTTGATAATGACTGCGGGAATTGGGAAATTCTCGTACAGTGCTAGTTTGTAAAAAATTGCTTTTGTTCGAGGGACCAAGTAGAGCAGAGAAGTACCAAGCATGGCTCTAACTAAACGATCCTCCATTTATTCACCCTTCATCTAACAGGTAGCACAGACTACGCTAAGGCCAAGGGTTCTAAAGACTCGACTTGGTCTCTGCTGCAAGAAGTTGGGGAGACACTCTTACACAAACTTCCTCAGGCAAGGATGATACTAGTCCTAGACTTTTTGAAGTTGTATCTCCCTGCACTATGTATCCACATATTTCAACCTCTTCAGTGCCACCAATAATTTCTTACTCACTCTTCTCAGCCTATAAATACGATCACAGAGAAGGAAACCAATTTCCTTGGAGCTTCCTTCTACTGGGACCACAACTCCATCTCCTCACTGCTAAACTTCATAAAAAAAAAAAAAAAAAAAGAAGTCACTGCCTCTGCAGCTTACTCCAGACCTCACTACATCCTGGCAGGCGCTCCTCACACCTTCTGGAACTCTGACATGTCACAATGGGACCTGTCAAGTTCAAAGTGCATCTGTCAGCCGCCATCTGTAGTGCCTCTGGGTAACACGGCACTGCTGGTTAACCACGTTCTCCTGCTCATTCATCACTCTCTCTTCCTCTGTCTCCTTCTCTGGTCATTTTTCTTTATCTTCTGTTTCTCTCTCGGCTGCCCCTCTCTTAAGCAGTGGTCTTAATCAGAGTTTTGGTTTTAGGGCCTCCTCTGTAAATTTTCTTTCTTTCTTTTTTTTTTTTTTTTTTTTTTTGAGACAGCGTCTTACTCTGTCACTTGGGCTAGAATGCAGCTCACAGCAACCTCAAACTCCTGGGCTCACAATTCTCCTGCCTCAGCCGCCCTAGAAACTGGAACTTCAGGTGCCTGACACCACACTTCACTAATTTTTTTTCATTTTTTGTAGAGTTGGGGTCTCACTCTTTCTCAAGCAATCCTCCCACCTTGACCTCCCAAGTGCTAGGATTACAGACAAGAGCCACTGCACCCGGCCTCCCTATGCTCTGTGATTACTTCAGTCCACATCTAAGGCCTTGAATAAAATGTATACAATGAAAATTCTATCAAATTTCTTATTATACAAAAATTACCCCTGAAGATCCATCCCGCAGGAATTTCAACCTCTTCTTCTGCTGTCCTGCCCTCTTTCCTCCTATCTCATAGCATCTCTGTTGACGTCATCGTGCACATGGAAACCTTTGATTACCCTGGCTCTCCCCTCTGTTCATCCCTTCCTCCATCCCATCTCTAAGACTAATGGCTCTGCCTATGGAACTTCTCTCTCCAGTTTGCTCTCCTCCTCCTATTCCCACAGCCTCTGTCCTACTTTAGGTCTTATCACATCACATTATTAAGAAGCTGAGTTTCATTAAGAAATCAATCATTCTAAAACATTCACCCAGTTGTGTCACGTCCTAATTTAAAAGCTTTCACGGTCACTACTGTCTACTGATGTATTTCTCCAGCTCTCCCTTTTGGCCTCTCAGAACACACTACCTCATGCCAAGTCTATGTATGATGGTATCCCATTTGTATCATGGTGTTAGGATTCAAAGTGTGAGTGTGTCTCTCCGCCAAACAGAAAATCCCTTAAGGACAGGAACAAGGTCATACTTACCTTTCTATTCCCAATGCCCAACATGGTGCCTGGTAACTAACAGGTGCTCACTTAATAATGTTCAATGAATTCAAATACATACATGGTAGAATCTCTGTAAGCGACCACACAAAGGACTGTAATAAACTGGTCAACATACAGCAGCAGCCAAAACAAGGAACTAGGCCTACCGTACTGATATGTACACTTGGTGCATGTCCAGTCTGTGAAAATTAGGTCAACTTAAGGAGGTGGTCAGTGCAGGGAGGTGGTTCAACTACAGAGGTTACACCATATACTGGTTATATGTTTAACATACAATCTTCAGGAAATATTTTAAAACACATTTTCAGGAATTTACATGAAAAGTTTACAAATTATTTCAGTTATAAGTATGACTTTATATTTACATTAAACACAATTGCTTATTTTGTTTTTTGATGTTTGAAAATTATATTTTCTAACTCTTATGGAGAGATAGGTATATTTTGAGAAGAGTTAATTCAATATTATACCAGAAAATGTTCAGATATATAAGTGAGCTAGAATATTTGGGTTTTGATTGCTTCCATTATAGTAGTCATACCAATTAGAAAAAATTGGAGGTGTTTATTAACTAACTCTTGTGCAAATAAAAGTTGAGATTTACTACTATTATGTACAAACCTCTAAGGAGGATTTAATATGAGTGGATCATGGAGGCTGTTGCTGTAGGAGCAAGGATTAGTTAACAGTTCTGATTGTTTCATTAGCTTCTTTGATTTTTTAAAAAAGCCACAGTATATTGGATTGTGGAACACTGACATAATTCCAACACATTGTCCTTGGTTCTAATCTTCCTTGTGCCTTGATGTATATGACATCTAAGCCATTTACTTTAGGGTGCAACCAGATTTGTAGGACAAATCAGAAGGGCATGGGGACTTAACAATAGGACACAGAGGAAAGAGATCTATTCATCAGAACTTGAAATATTCAAAAAATTATTTCTGAATCTGTATTTAATATTAAGATTTTTTTTAAGAGTCCCACTACATTGCCCTGGGTACAGTGCTGTGGCATCACAGCTCACAGCAACCTCAAACTCTTGGGCTAAGCAATGGTCTTGCCTCAGCCTCCCAAGCAGTTGGGACTACAGGCACCCACCACCACGGCCAACTATTTTTTTTTTTTTTTTGCAGTTGTCATTGTTGTTTAGCTCAAACCCGCCAGCCTGGGTACATGTGGTCAGTGCCCTATTCACTGAGCTACAGGCGCCAAGCCTAAGATGTTTTTAAAAACCATCCAATTAACGTATGGAATAGCAAAAAATTGGAACAACAGAATGAAGAGATATTTTATTTGTTACTGTTTACTGGACAAACCTACAGTAAGTTCTCCCAGGCATCTACAGATAACTTACCATGTCCCATGATGCTCAGAACTTAGGAGCAGGGAATTTAAACTTTTGTTTGCTAACAGGGACCTTTCTTCCCAACGCACACACAGACGCAGGCATGCTTACCTCTCCTGGTCGGATCTTGATGTAAAAGTTATTCCGTTTGTATGAAATTTTGAGAACCTTGGGCCAGGCAAACCTGTTTATTCGCAGTCGGTCACGATATATCAACAGACCACTTGCACAAACTCCCAGCATAATGTCTACTCCCTCTGAATCCTAGAAAATGGCAGCAAGGAACGGTAAGTCAGTATCTTACTTAGCTCCACTTTCAGCTGGGTAAAATATTTAAGCCTCTACAACAAAATCTGTAATTGATATTTAAATATGAAAAATACGCCGCCATTTTTAAAACATTATGGTTACATAACAGCCTTTTAGTGAAGATTTTCATCACTATGGAGATTATCATTAAGAGTCCAATCTCCTCTCCCAGGTGTCGCAGACTTGTGGCTTAAATAACGTACCCAAGAAGGCCCAGCAGACAAAGGTGTGTTAATAACAGTAACAACAGCCCCAGTTACTGCTCCCTGAGTGCCAGACACTGCGCTAACGGCTCTACGTGTTAGTTCTTTTAATCTTCACTGAGATAGTTGCTATTATTATTCCCATTTTACAGATGAGGACAGAGAAGTAGAGTCTCAGTTAACACAGCAGCCTGGTTCAAGAGGGAGTCGGCTCAGCTGTCGTGTGTTCTAGTAAGGTGCTTTCTGTCCTTTCCTATGAGGGTTTGGGGTTTTGTTCCTTTAAAAAGAGCTTGGCTACACCATTATTTTTTATGTACTGCTACTGTCAGAGAGAAACTAGTTTTTAAAAGTACAAATGCACTTCCCCAACAAGCTCACTCTCCCCTGCTCCACATACTGCCCAGTGGTAATCACATTTAATGATACAAATGTTAAAATGTTTATATGTATAGTTTATATATATACGTGTGTCCATAGGGTTTTTTTTTTTAAGAGATCATACTAAACTAGCAACTTGCTTTTGCTACTCTCACATTTTGTTTTTTTCAATTTCAGTTTAATATGAGGGTACAAACGATTAGGTGATATTATTTGTGTTTGTTAGGTAAGGTCCAAGCTGTATTTGAGCCCTTCACCCAGGAGGTGTGCCCTGTACCCCTACATTGTGTGTACATTTCATTTCATCTGTAAGTAATTACCCAGGGATGTGTGATGCCCAGAGGTCCTACTATGTCAAACTCAGGCAATATACCACAGAGAGTCTTAATTGCTGAACAGCGATGGTGGCCTTGAACAGAGTAGAAGGCAGGACGGGGGCAGGACTGTGTGTGAGCTTGAGTCTAGTCCTTGTCTCAGCAATTGTTGGATGCAGGGGACAAAAAGGGTCATGGGCTGGCCACACACAGGAAGCAGCGCTCACATCTTATGCCACACAGTTGGCAGGGCTGTCCCCAAATTTGAGTCATAGTACAGCACCCCAAGAGCAGTGGGGAAAATAGAAGACTCCAAACAGGAGATGCTGACTCGTCTACAGTGTGGGAATTTACTTCCTCAATTTTGTCAATGCTAGGGACAAGATGGACATTTCTAGAATCAAATAAATATGCTGGTCTACATTTGGGAAACACCAGTTTACAAACAGAATATAATTGGTGTAAAACGAAGTATTTTACCTTGGAAATGTAGCACTCCATTAGACGCTTTACAGGAGTGGAAAGACTCGAGGGCGGGATATTACAATATTAATAAAATCCAAGGAAAACTCAAAGACCAGAAACTGCTCACCATTTACAGCAGGCTTTAATTCAAAAGAGCAATTTAAAGAGGGACAGCCTGATGCTGACCGGGAGCTGGATTATTGCTCCTGTTAGGATGAAACCAGCCAATCTGATTGCTCGACCACTCAGAGGCAACGCAGGCCCGAGGAAGGGCTGCTGGAAACTGTTCTTTGCTTCACTAGCTTTTTGATGGCTATAGAATATAAGTTTAGAAACGTGCTCGACATTTACAGAGGAAAAGGACATTCAAAACCTTTTTCGTGATTAGATAATAAAATGTTTAAATGAACTTTTAGTGTCTCTGAGTCATAAGAAAACAGCCTCCTTTGACTGGGAAAATGAAGGCCTTGATGCCTCCTCTCCGTATCCTCCAACACAGGCTTCTGTGTCCCCAAATCAGTCATTATTTCCAGCACACTCTTAGCAAGTGGCACTGAAATTCCCACTCGTCTTCCTCCTCCTGGAGTTGGAAAGCTGGCTGAGAGCGGGAGCTCAGTTTCACCTTCATCATCTCAACGCCAGCACAGAGCCCACCTGGTGTGCATTAAGATATTACATGTTGATTGAAAGAAAAGGTGAAAAAATATAAAAATGGCAGCAACGAATCAGGTTTTAGGACTCAATGGAAGTCTCCATTTCATTAATTGCACAGCAACAGATAATGATACTTTGATATCAATTTTTCTACTACAGCCCATTGTCCTGAGATTCGTCTGATAAATCTTTAGTTTAAACGCTGTAACAACAGGCTTTCTTGGGGACATGTGCATTTTGCTATCACTGAGTATGTTTATATTCCCTGCACAGCCAGCACTGAAGGTAGACCTGCTAGTCTTTGCCTACCATCGTGAAAATAAAGGCACATATATTTCCTTTATTTGAAATCACTGTTCATACTTGGGCATCCTTCACTATCATGTGGTCCCTGAGATCTCTCCTATAGATTTCTGTCTACATTTCAGAATCTTACATAAATGACACAGCCCATTAAGACTGACATTAAAGTGACAAAGAGGGACAGACTTCAAAGAGAAAATAAAGCATTGAGAACATGTTTTCCAAAACATATGACCGTCATCTAATACGGTTATTTATTCTTCATACAGAACTGCTGGGTATGAGATCACAAGTCAGAATTTCTAAATGGATCCTAAAGCTCAGGGCATTTCAAACCATCAACAGAAGAAAAGCATCTTGCTTATAGCCGGAAATTAGCTCTAATTTGATTCCGTAAATTTCCTTTTTCAAATGATGGAGTGTGGCTGCCTGGGAAAATGGAGTCTATAACTGAATTACTAGTTATACTTATTATTCAGATAAAATCCTATAACAGGCTGGATTTGCACTTCCTTAATTTTCTTTCTTTTTAATTGGCATAATTTCAAATCATATTATAGAATGAAAAAGCAGCCATCTATATTAATTCAGTAGCTATAGCAATGTTAAGTGATTTTATTTTTACTGACAGAAATACTGATACATCCTGAGTTGTGCTCCTTAAGTGTATAGCCTAATCTTTTATTTATTTATTTTTTTCTGGGCAGTCAGTGAGTCAGGAGTGCACGATATAACTCAAAAATTTCTTCACTCAAATTCTCAGGCTACCTTCCTTTCATTTTTTTCCCTTATCTTTTCACCAACTAGGGAAAAATTCTAAGAGAAATAAAAAAAATAGTGTCTGTGTTGATTTTTATTTTGAAATCCTCACCCTACCTTATGTCTCCCATACAATGGAAAACAACTGTGTAATGAACTGGCAAGGAAATGGAGTTACACTTGCTGTTGCAATCACACGCAAACGTCAAAGAGCCTGGCATTCAATGCACCAACGTGTCCCCGGGAGGGTCCCAGCCACGTCTCAGAGGTGCTCGTACTCAGGCATTGGAGTACTCACCCTGAGTGACGCCAAGACAAAAACCAATCAAACCTGCACTGGTTCAACAGCCACTCTACCACCCAAACTCTCTGTGGATTAATCGGCTTCCCAAATACCAACCACAGAGCTGTTTTGACTTCAAGCCTCAAGAGAACCCACAGACCATAGATTTCCTTCCTGTGTGTCTCAGGGTTGTTGAGATACTTTTCTCATCAGAAAAGCCAATTGAAATTCCCCTCATTTCTAGGCCTTCAACCTGACTGTGTAAGACATTTATTTGCTTGCCTGGAAACCGGAAATTGCATGGTTCTTGTGAGTCCCAGACCGTGAAATTGGTGACTGAGTGCTGTCTATCAGAAGTCAAAGACATGTCCCTAAACAGAAATGATGTTATCTTGTCAGTCCCCATCTGAAGAAACGACCTCTGTACTTTGAACACTGACCCTTCCACTGCTCAGGTAGCAGAATCCATCTCTAGGATCCTAACACATTTTCTATGCACTGCTGATGAAAACTTTTCATAAAAACTTCTCTGTATTTCCACACGGCTTTTATTCAGGGATGTTTAAATGGTAAACTAGTAGACCCACCTGGACATTCTCTCATTGCTGAAAAATACAGAGGTTCTAGAAAGGGTGTGACACAAGGTCCACACTGTTCAATGTGCCCTCACAACTGTCACCCTCCTGGGGTCTAGTGCCATCTTCTTTCCTTCCTTCTGGACCCAATACAGACTCTTAACATTTCACCAGTTACTGGTCAGTGGGGCAATCTGGTGAGCACCAAAAAGGGGTATAAACAGTTCCTAGGACCTAACAGATATGACAGTGGGTCTTGGACAATCTGACAGGTTTAGACAGATAGGAGAGAGCAGGACAGTCCCGAGGCAGGCATATTCAGGGAAAGGCAGTGATGGGGACATGATATGACAGGGTACGTTAGGGTGGGGGGGGGGCTCAGAGCTTGTTAGGTCAAGTTCACCATCCAACTGCAGGCACAGGCAATCAGAGGCTCTGCCTTTCAAAGCCTTTTCAGTAGGCTGAGCCCGTGAGTTTGAGCTCTGAAGAGTAAACCCCTCGGTAAATATCAGAAAGCTAAATTGGTTGGATCATGGAGTAGGGCTTAAAATGCAAACACAGATTTGAATCCTAACATTTTCGTTTACATTAACTAAAGTAAAAATCACCAGAATACTGCAAAAACATTAAATAGAGAGTTTGGGGCTCACAAATGCATACCTTAGCATGATGTAAATCTACGCCGTACATGGATAGTTTTTTGGCATTTTCCAAGAAATGCATCTCTGCTTCTGCTGGCGTCATTCCTCTGATGAGGGGAAAAAGTATTACAATGCTACATTTCTTATTAGTTAAGAGTTAAAATTTAAAAAGCAGTTAGCTCCATCCTGTCTTCCCAGAAGAAAGATCCCCCCCCACCCCAACCAGGTACCAGCAGACACATGGGGAAAAAATAGGAAAATGAAAACATTACAAATGAATGCCTGGGTGTCCTAAGCAAGAGCTCCCCCACCCCAGAACCTCCACCTCGTACAGGTCCTCCCTCGGCTCACCTCCCACCTTAATGGACTCACACCAGCGCTGGGAGAGGTGGGCGGTGTGAGGGTGCCCGCTCACCAAGGCCCACCTTAAACGAGCACTCTCAGGGTTGCTGCCACTGACCTGTGGCTCTTGTGCAGCTCGATCACTTTGTCTTCCAGCTCTTTAGTGTGGTTTGGTGCGAAGCGGAACTCACTGATGTAATCATTCCCACATTCATCGGGGTCATAGTCTCCTAGTTCTGACTGGACGGTGTAGGAGCCCAGCAGGGCCAGGGTGACAAAGGAGCAGGGCAGCCTCCCGGATACGATGTCATCTCGCAACTGTAAGCAGAGGTAGTACCTTCCAGAAGCCAAAAAGACAACACGAAAGGCCGGCGTGAGGACATATGAAAAGAGGAGCATTCCAGGTAAATCGGGGTTAATTCCTCCCTATTAAGTTCTCGAGGATAAATTTTCCAGCTACAGAAAACATAATTTCATCTATACCTGGTATAGATGTAAGGGGAATATACCTGGCTACCAAATACAATATTTAAGGGCATCTAGAAGCAAGTCAATGTTCATAGTAAAATAGGGTTTCAGTAATACAGAAGGAAAGAAACCTAAGGACATACTCTTCTAACGTCTTTTAAAGTCAAATGAACAGAAACACATTTCCTGAAGTCCTTGGCTGGGAAAAACAGAGTATGAAAACGATGCTTGTAAATACAGTCTCGTGAAACATAATGGTGCTTCCATTAAGGACAGACTGCACAGATGACGGCCGTCCCATATGGTTGGTTATAAGGCAGCGGAAAAATTCCCATTGCTAGTGACAGCATAGCTGTCCTAAGGTTGTAGCATAATGTATTATTCACATGTCTGTGGTGTTACAGGGATAAACAAAACTACTGCACTGTCAGTAGGATAAAAGTCTAGCACATATAATTATGTACAGTACCTAATACTTGATAATAAATGACAGTGTTACCAGCTTATGTATTTATTATACTTTTTAATCATTATTTTAGAGTGAACTACCTTCTACTTTTTTTTTTTTAAAGGAGGTGTTCCTGAAGAAGGCCTTGTGGTTGTAGGAGATGACAGCTGTGTATGTGTTACTGCCTGTGAAGACCTTCTAGGTCTCAAACTTTTTAAACAGGGGGCCAGTTCACTGTCCCTCAGACTGTTGGAAGGCTGGACTGTGGGCCCTGGGACGAGTTGGCTGCTAAGCAGGACAGGCAGCAGTGGCAAAAACACCCGGTAGGCTAGATAAATGTCCTAGGCGGGCCACAGGTGGCCCGCAGGCCGTAGTGTGAGGACACCTGTTTTAGGGGGACAAGACGTGGAGGTCGAAGGCAGAGAGATCGATGATCCTGACCCAGTGTAGGCCTAGGTTCATGCATATGTTTGCATCTTAAGTTTAAAAAGTAAAAACAAAACAAAACTAAAAAATAGGAGAAAGTTTCCATTAATAAAGAATATAAAGAAAAAATATCTTTGTAGTGTTGTACGATATATCTGTATTTCAAGCTAGATGTCATACAAAATTTTCACAAGTTCAAAACATTAAAGTATAAAAGTTACAGTAAGTGAAGGTTAATTTCTTAAAGAAGAAAATTTAAAAGTAAATTTAATATAGCCTACATGTACAGTGTTTATAAAATCTACACGAGTGCACAGTTGTGCCCCAGGCCTTCACTGTCACTCACCACTCAGTGACTCACCCAGAGCAATTTCCAGTCCAGCAAACAGCATTCCTGGTTCAGTGCCCTATACTGGTGTGTTATATTTTATCCTTTTAGATTGAATTTTTATTGCACCTTTCCAATAGTTAGGTATGTGTAGGTGTGCAAATAACTGATCACTGTGTTACATTTGCTCACACCTTCAGTCCAGTACCATGAGCAGCAGGTGACACAATAAATAAAGCCTGCGTCGTGGGCCAGGCCATCTAAGTTTGTGCCCTCTATGATGTTCACACAACAGAGTCACCTGAAGGTGCCCGTCTCATAACTTATCAATGTTAAGTGACGCTTGACTATGTAATTATCAGGCCCCAACCTCTTTCTTTAATTTTTTTTTTTGAATTTAAGATTAACGAAAGGGCATAAACAAATAGACTGCAGTGTTTGCATTTGTTAGGTAGAGTCCCTATTGTAGTTGTGCCCTGCACCCAAGAGGTGCACCACATACCCTTACACTGTACCCATCGGGCAGGAGCACACCAACCCCCCCCTCCCTTACTCCCTTCTCTCCGCTTTGAACTGATCTAAGTTTTTCATGCAGGCATGTACTGGATTGTCTACTGCAGGCCCCAAGTTCTTAAGGCAGTCTCATTTGGATATACAGATGGCAGATCTTGCCATATGACCAACACAGGACAGATTTCAGGTAACTCAACGGTTCTACCTTCATAAACTCAGCTCTATATTCCCGCATTCCTAATGAGACAGTTTCTTTAAAATAACAAGTAATTCCTCTTGTTTTCATTCTCATTTTAAACATTTAGATAGCTTCTTAGGATCTGGTATGAAGGCTAACTCTGAAGAATTACTACTTTAAAATCTGAGAATCTTGTCACTGTGAGTAAACAGTTTTAAACTGGAGAAGCATGGCACATTGCCTTATAATACTTCCAAGGTGTAACAAAAATACGACCACTGATAGCTGATTTGTCTGCTCTGCTATTCTGTTTTTAAGACTTATGGATACAGTACTAACTGCAAGAGATTAAAGGTGTTAACTCTGATGAGTTTTAATAATAACTATCATGACCCAGCATATGGGTATAATAAAAACCACATCCTGTCCTTTTCATATTTGAACTGTTAATCTGTTGAAACAGAGGACTGTGACAAAGACTTAAGGTCCCCTCCAAGTATTATTTTAGGCTGGTGATATAAGTAAAATCTACGTAATTCACTTAGAAAAATTCTTAAACATTTAAAAGGTAACATAACAATATAACCAGTATTATATAGGTACACAGAAAGAAACCATACTCTAAATTTTCAAACCCAGGTATACATATAACATAGGTTATATGTTCTATAACCACATATTAGCCATAATTAAATAGTTCCTCAATATTGATTAAATGTATCTTTAAATAAGAAATTATAATTTTTTTTCTGATTTAATACAAATACAAAAATATCCTCCAGAACTAAGTTTTACCCTCTTTTTAATAAGTCTGGTAAAATTACTTTTATCATTTTGATTTATAAATGTTCCTTTCTAGAGAAGAGGTCTCAGTCTACTGCCCTGGCTGGGATGCAGTGGAGTGACCATGGCTCACTGGTGCCTAGAACTCCTGAACTCAAGTGATCCTCCTGCCTGAGGCCTCAGTCTCCCCAGCAGCTGGGACCACAGGCAAATGACACCATGTCTGGCCAATTTAAAAAATTCTGTACCATCTGAACTCCTGGCTTCAAGTGCTCCTCTCATTTTGGTCTCCCAGAGTTCTGGAATCATAGGCCACAGCCACCTCATCCAGCCTGAAATTATTTTTAATCATAGTAAGTAACTGAAGCTGTTTTGATTAATTTCTCTTTTC